TATCTTGACATTTCTCTTTTGCCAAATTGAGTATCTTGTCTCTATCTGGCTATGATGTGCCTTGGAGAAGATCTTTTTGGATTGATTCTATCTGGGGTCCTTTGTATTTTTTTTTTTTTTTTTTTTTTTTTCATTCTAAAGTCCTTGTAAACTGGTTTTTATTCATCTGGAGTTTCTTAAGTCTCACTAAAAGAAGGGAGAAAAAAGCTAGTCTTACCCAAAACTGTTCTGTTTAGTAGCCAGCTCTCAGCAGTTTATGGTTTCTTGATGTAACTGAGGAGCTCATCTGGTAACCACTTTTCTCCCACTGTTCTCGCAACTGTTGTAATAGAGCCCCAATTTCTTTTCCTGATTTTGAGTTTGGTTATTTGAGTGCCTCTCTAGGTTTGGAAAGTTTTCTTCCAGGATTTTATGGATGAGATCGTCATTGCCCTTATTAGTTTCTTCACCTTCTGGGATGCTGATGATCCAATTTTTTTTTTTTTCTTTTCAGGCACAAGTTTATTTTGGAATTCAGAGGAGAACTGAGGCTTAAACATTGTACAAAGTAATTCCATTATTTTGATCGTAGACAATAAACAACTTCCACTGCCCTAAAAATTTTAAAAAGTCTATACTTTTCTTGCAAGGGAGATTTCAGTGCCTGAAGTAAAATTTTTCATTCTAAAGTCATTGTAAACTGGCTTTTATTCATCTGGAGTTTCTTAAGTCTCACTAAAAGAAGGGAGAAAAAAAGCTAGTCTTACCAAAAAACTGTTTAGTAGCCAGCTCTCAGCAGTTTACGGTTTCTTGATGTAACTGAGGAGCTCATCTTTTTCCATCTGGTAACCACTTTTCTTCCACTGTTCTCGCAACTGTTGTAATAGAGCCCCGATTTCTTTTCCTGAAGAAATGCCCACTTTTCTAATGTCATGGCCGCTCACAGGAAATGGAGGAACAGACCACTGCTGCATGTCCTTCAGAAGACAGTGTTCTCCCTGGTACTTGAGCAGTTCACATACTCGGAGAGTCGCATCAGGTTCCCTAGACTAAATGCCAAAACCAAATATTTCAATGCTTACTTAGGATCTTAGTTTTAGAAACTTTTGACTTAATAATCAGTCCTACTCTCAGCAGTTTACAGACTTCTATTCTGATCAAGCCAAGTAGATACTTACATCTATAATGAAGTCTTGATAGGGCTTCAATGGTTCGGAACTGTCTGTGGCTTTGATTAAATCTTTCCTATTTTTAACCAAAAATAAACCAAGGTTTTTCTCTTCTTTTGAAATCTTCAACCTCAAATCCAATTTTGTGACATCATCCTGTACTTTAAATAATGATGCCAAAAGAGTCATTGGCTTTGGTGAAAAACCTTCGACATTTTTACTGACTTTGTTAAATTCTTCAAAACTTGCGTTAGCAGGTAAACCTGTAGGGACAAAAGTACTTGGAGATTGTAACTTCATTGTAAACAGATATTGCTTCAGAAGGCACAGCCTACTGCATCTACAGCTGAGTATGGGCCTATGCCAAGAATACAGGTACCTCAGCATCTGGAGAGAAGGTCAGGACCACACATCGCAGTAGAGTGAACCGTGCAGGGAAAATAATTGGGAAGACGGCCGCCGCTCAGACAGCGCCGCGGGTTCCATCACCCTCAGAACCCCTGATGATCTAATGTTTGGGCGTTTAATGGTATCTACTATTACTCGCATATTATTCTAATTTTTTGGGTTATTTTCTCACTCTCTATGATGAATTTTTTAGGTCAGAGGTCCTGGCAGTAGAGTGAACCGTGCAGGGAAAATAATTGGGAAGACGGCCGCCGCTCAGACAGCGCCGCGGGTTCCATCACCCTCAGAACCCCTGATGATCTAATGTTTGGGCGTTTAATGGTATCTACTATTACTCGCATATTATTCTAATTTTTTGGGTTATTTTCTCACTCTCTATGATGAATTTTTTAGGTCAGAGGTCCTGTCTTCCACATCTGAGATTCAATCTTCTGTGTGATCTAATCTGCTTTTGATATTTTCAAAGGAAGTTTTGAGTTCCTCTATTACAGCCTTCATCTCTAACAATTCCATTTGATTCTTTTTTATGATGTGTATTTCCTTTTTCAGATCGTACAAGAAATTCCTCACCTCCTGGGACTTGGTATCTCTTTTCTCCTGAATCTTCTGGAGTTCATTGTCTCTCTTCTCTTGCATCTCTTTTAGCTTTGTCACTATGAATATTTAAAATTCGTTATCTGACATTTTCAGAAGTTCTTTTGTATTGTCTGTGGAGGAAGAAGAGTTGTTCTTTTCCTTTATAGAAGTGATATTTTCTTGATTTCTCATATTTCTTGTACCTCTGAGGTGGTTTCTGGCCATCTAATAAATTATTTTTTTTTTCCTAGTTTTTGGAGTTAAATCTGAGCATTTAGAGTCATGCAAAAGGAGGTGACCTACAGTCTCTAAACAGTACAGTTTTCCTCCCTTTGCACAGCTGATTCAGTGAAAATTGAGGATTAATTTGACCCTAAAAGTATTCAGATGTTTGACTACTGAGCACCTAGACCTCTCTAGGAAATTAGTGTGTGGAGGCTGAGCAGAAAAGTGAGAAAGGTCAAAACAAAAGGAAAAGGAATAGAAAAAAAATTAAAGAGCAAAAACAAGACAAAAACAATTAAAAAAACCATTTTTTGGTCGCAAAATGAAAATCGTACTGTGCACTAGTACGCTGCATAAATATAGATTACTGTTGATTGGCTTGTCCTGTGGGGGCAGGGGAAAAGGTAAGAGTTAGCAAGACAAAAGAGTGACAGAAAGCTAAGAAGTTTAAAAATTAAAAAAATTTCTTTAAATATATATAGAGATGGAGAGAGACAGAGAGAATAAATAGTGTGCTCTAACCTGATTCTTGATTAGATCTGAGGGCAGGAGGGTGAAGTCTGGGCAGAGGGTCTGCGGTGGTCCTAATCCCTGAATGCAACTGCTCAGAACTCAAATACAGATGCTGCTGATTGGCTTGTCCTGGCTCCTGACCAGATCCGGGGGGCAGGAGGGTGAAGTCTGGGCCTTCATCATTATCATCGTCATCTTCTGCTTGTCAATCCTGTCTATCCTGTTCCAGAGACACATTGAGCTGACAGTGATCTCTGAAGAGGTGACTGAATTTGTTCTTGTAATATCTAATTGAGATGTATAATCTTGTGGATACAGAGAATTTTGGAAAACCTCTGATTCTTCAACCTCATCAATCTATATGTGTGTGTGTATTTATTTGTTTATTTAAGAGGTTTTTCATTAGGGCATTTGCACTCTCCAGAGAGAGACAATGAGAGGGAAAGTGAGAAATCACCCTCCAGGGGGTATGGCCATACTATAATCTCTTCTCCTCCATTCTTCCCTCAGGATCTTGGGCATGCACGCACACATGCCCAACATGATTTTCAAGCTACTGGGTCTGGGACTCGAACCATGGTCAGCCATGGTAGAGTCTAGCAACATAACCACTACTCCATCTGCTGGCCCCGATCTTTTGTATATTTTGGTAGGCACCAGTGTAGACCTCTAAAGCTTTGCCATGAACTAACATTTCAGTTGTGATAAATTCTGAAAATATAATCCTTATATTCTTTCCTTTCTACCTTTCAGAATTGTCAGTAGTTTCTAGATGACGAGTCATTCAGGTAGCATCCACTGTAGCTCTCTAATTCGGTTTCTGCTTGTGAAATAACATGTGGATCACATGAGTTTCTCTGATGTGTTCTTTCTGAGTTAACTGCTTAGCTCCTTGATTCCGTGCTGTTAATGTGGCTTCGAGGTCATCCCATTTCATTTTTACGATGGTTCCATAAGCTTTCAAAGGTTCAAATACTTTGGCATCATGTCTTTTCAACCTTGGCTTGTCAATAATCCTGAAGTTTGGCAAACTTATCAGCCAAGTTTTTCAGGCCTGGCTTTAAATTTGGGGTCTCTGTAGAGGTGTACATGTTGATTTCATTCACCAAGGGTCTGCTTTGTCTCATAGCCTGGCAGTTTTCTGCACACAGGCAGCAAAGGTTTAGGACAGCACCGGGTCCAGGACGTGAACCGCGGTCGACCACGTGGGAGTCCAGTGACATAGCCATTATGCTAACTGCAGGTCCCAATGCTTCTCCACCTTTCTGACAGCATCTTACATCTTACACACTTTTGTGATATTTGAGAATTCCGGTTTTCCAGGCTGTGCCTCAACATCTTGTCTTGTGCATGACTGGGGACCCTGAGCTAGGGCCCAATGACGGGGGCTCTGGGGTGACCAGGGACACACTGGGGCATGAGTCACAGTAGCCTACCAAGAATATTTCAAATACAAAACTAAATAACCCTGAAATGACATCTGAAAAAAAAAAGTCCCCCCAAAGCAGTAAATTGTAGAACAATTGCTTGTTGGTGAAACAAAATCTGTTTGAGGACTAACAATTTTGGCATCAAGGGCCAGCAGGGGGTGCGGTAGTTAAGGTGTTCGAGTCCCCCATGGCTGACCACAGGACGAGTACCAGTGGCTTGAAAATCATGCCAGGGGCATGTGCATGCATGCCCCAAATCCCAAGAGAATGGAAGAGAAGGGTTTATAGTGTGACAATTGTCCCTGGGGAGTGATTTCTCACTTTCTTTCTCTCTCTCTCTCTGCCTCTCTCCAGGCAAAAACCTAAAAAACCAAAACCAAACAAACAAAAAACCCCACCTTTTTGCATCAATAGAACTTGTAGGGTCACATTTTTCTAAACTGTCTGATCTTGGGCTGTTGAGGTGGGGTGCAGTTGGTGCAGGTGGAGGTTGGCTGAAGGAGGCCAATGTCCCATGCAGGGAGTCCTGCCTTCCTGAGGCTGATCTGGTTTTGGAGCTAAGCTGGAATGGACTGAGAGCCCGCATCCTTCCAGGTCAGCCTAGGAGAGAAAGCAGGGCCCTGTGTACACTGGGGCCTCTCCATTAGCGCCCAGCACTGGGAGGGCCTGTAAAGAGGGATGCTGTATTTTCTTTCCACAGGTATCGGGTCAGCTTCAGACCTAGATACGTCACGAGGTACAAGACAGTGACACAGCTGGAGTGGAGATGTTGCCCTGGCTTTCGAGGGGGAGACTGTCAAGAAGGGCCCAAAGACCCCGTGAAAACCCTCCGTCCCACACCTGCTCGGCCTCGTAACAGCATGAAGAAAGCCACAGGTAACTTCTCGTTTGTGTTGTGCCATGCTTGGTCACCGTTGCTATTTCTGGCGCTCCTGCGGATGGCAAGCTCTGTGAGTTACAATGTTGATTTCCACGGTCTCGGAAGAACACACACTTGCCGGCACAGTGGACACGTGGCGGACACATGGAGTTGCAGGAGCAGAAACAGTAGCAGTTGGAAGACGTCCTTGCATGCGAATAGCCTTGTTAGAGCCAGCACTGTGAAAGCCTGGGCCTTAGGAGTCAGATAGGAAAAGCTGGTGGGGTCAGTTGGATGCAGGCTGAAGCCTCAAAAACGAGAGGCAAGTGTAATGACGTTCTGCCGGTTTTTACTGAGCCCCATACATTTTTATTACAAAACGAATGCTTACCAATGAAAGAATTGTCATCGACTATAGGAAAATACCTGACCTGTGACCTCGCCACCAAATGAGAACTCCTGTTAGTATTTTGTTACAGAGCATTCTCCTTACCTAGGTCTGCATATATATCTTGTTAAATAAAAAATCATTCGTTCATCTAAGGATTTATGGAGCAGCTATTCCCTGGCAGGCCCTACATTAGACACCCGGGATCAGTAAGACACAGGCAGACACAAACAGCCCCTGGCCCCACAGAGGACAGATGTCAGATGTTAACTAGGTCAGTGCAATGGTGGGTGACAGGTGATTGGAGCAGAACAGTTTGTTTTCATTTCGTTTAGTTTTTAGTCTTCATTTTATAAAAGTGTAAACGTATACATGGTTTAATAAGTCGCAGAGCTGTATAAGAACCAATAGGAAAAGCAGCACCCCCTGCTCACCCTCACTTCCTGTTCTCAGAGCTAATGAAATTCTTTACCTGAGTCCTTTGGAGTTTCCCTATGTACCTATTGACTTCTCATTATGGAAGGGTGAGGGGTTTAATTCCCTTTCATCCACTGCCCAACATGCCATTCCTATCCGCCATCCTTCTCAGAGTTGTAGCATTTTTATTGACTCAATATTCAATGTTTACGTTGTAGTCACTGTGTAGATAATTTACAGCCCTGCTGTGCAGTATCAAAGGAGTCCTGGAAAAGTTCATAAGGGGCTCGTTCTGAGGCACAGTGGTAATACCCTGCTCAAGAGAAGCTGGATCCCAATGGCAATGGCTGTTTGATTCTTGGGCCTGGACAGCCTGAAACACCTGAAGTACATACGCAAATGTCCAAGAGCTGATGGGCTGAAGGGCTCCCTTCAGGAGGGTGCTCATTTATCTCTCTCTCACGTGCACGTGTTCTATTAGTTCATATGATGAAAAAAACCACATGGAATTCTAACATTTTGCATTAAAATAAACTTGTGGGCTGACTTAGCACAGTGGTGAGGCATTGCTCAAGTGATGCTGAATCCATAGCGGGGATCAGGAGTTGGTTCCCCACTAGACCTGTACACTCCAGGTGCGTGTACCCCAATCTTGGCAGTCTAGGGGCGCTGAGGGGAATGGCAGTGTGAGACTCTGTTGAGGGTGATTGTCTTTCTTCCTTTTTCCCTCTATCTCTTTCTTATCTTCTCTGTCTCTCACTGTCCTAAAAGAAAAAAAATGAAAAACTTAAAAAATATATAGTACTTTAGTTCTATTTTTCTATGAACTTTTTGAAGTCCCATCAACCTATGCATAGGTTTTGTCCTACACTGCCTTTTATTATTATTACTTTTTAAAAAAATTTTGCCATGGGATGTGTCTGGTTGCCAGAAAGACAGAGCGAGCGAGAGAGAGAAATCACCCCTCAGGGGGGATGACCATGCCATAATTCTTTCTCCATTCTCCTCTTGAGATTTTGGGGACACAAGCACATGCATCCAGCATAATTTTCAAGCCACTGGTCTAGGACTCAAACTGCAGAGTTGGCCACATGGGATCCAGCCACCTTAACCTCCATGCACTAGGCGGCCCAGTTTTTTTTTTTTTTTTTTTAAAAGTTTTTTTTTTTTTTTTTAG